GCATCACGAATTTTATCCATTTCTTCTTTTTGTTCATTATTATTATTATTACTATTAATATTATTATTATTATTATGATTATTATTAAAAAGATCCAAGGCTTGTAATTGTACATTGTATGGATTTAAAAACATTTCAAAGGCTTTTGTTAAACCATCTTGAGAACCACTTGTACAAATAACATCCCACAATTGTTTGTTTTCATCGGATGGTAATTGATGAGTTACTTGTTGATGTTTTCTCATATATTGTGTGAGTGAAGGTAAACCTTGACTTGGATGATATTGTAATCCATCACTTAATTCTTTACCTCCAATTTCTAGGCTTGTTTGATTATTTAAATCAACTTTAATAGATTGAAATGGAAATGTTTGAGAGTTTGGTAAACCACCTGCAAGTGAAATCATACCAGGTAAATTCATAATTGGCATGAGTGCACGAATTGGACTTGGTTTTCTCAATTTTGAAATTACTGAAAAGAATGGTGTAAAATCTGTGATACGATTCACTGCTGCTGTTGTTGTTGAGGCCATTTTTTTAATTTGTTTTTTTCAAAGGCTATGAAAAATCAAAAAAGGTTAGATTCACTTATTTGTCAATGATGTTGAATTCTCTGAGTTATTGTTGGTGAAGAGTTAAGGGAATTAAATTGAGTTCAGGTGGTCCAGAATCCTTAATTTTTGTTTTGTTTCTATCAGGCTATAAATGATGTTTGGCGCCAAAATCAACTACAAAAAAAATGAGCAGAAACGACTATTATGATTCTGATGAGGAAGTAATTGAAGAAAACAACACAATGGTGACCAATAAGAGAATGAGCAAGGAAGATGTGGATCATATCATTGAGGAAATAAAGGCTCATTTAGGAGAGTTGTGTTTATCAAGAACAGGTCTCGGACACATCTTTGCTTCTTTAGATTTATCGGTAGGTTTTATCAAGCAATGATGAAATTGATAACTTATTAAAATTGTGTAGAACTTGAAAATATCAAATATTAGTGATGGATTTATTATTTCGGAATTTTATCCTCAATTACAAAATATTAATCTAAGTGGAAATGAATTAACTAGTTTAGAATGTTTGACCAATTTAAAAACACTTGTAAAATTGAATGCTTCAAATAATAATTTAGAAACACTACTTGATTTTATTATTGATAAAAATCCACTCAAGGTCTTTTTAGCTGAAGCAAATTTTGAAAATAATTCTCTTTCTAGATTTGATACTAATTTACATCAATTCTCAATTTCATTGAAAAGATTGAATATTTCTAATAATTCTATTAATTATGATTTATCAGAATTAAATACATTATCTAATTTAATAGAATTGAATATTTCTAATAATCAAATTACTCATCTCAATCTTTCCAAATTGAAATATTTAAAGATTTTAAATGCAGAAAGGAATAACATTAATTCAGTTACAGGTATATGTCCAGATTCACTTCAACAATTAAATTTGAAAGAAAATTCTCTATCAAAACTATCAGAATTTCAAGTATTTAAATATTTGTATAGATTAAATTTAGATAATAATCAAATTAATGATTTTAATGAATTGAGTTATTTAAATAATTTAAGTTATCTATATGAAATATCATTACTTGGTAATACATTTGATTTTGGTCAAAGTACATTGGAAGAAATTGCCAATATTTACAAAAATTCAATTCTCTATCAAATACCACAAATTGTTGTTTTGGATGAATTTGAAGTGAGTAGTGAAGAGAAGGTTAGAGCTAAAATATATATTGAAACCATTGTTGAAAATATTCAATTAGCAGAGGCAGCAGAAGCAGCAGTAGCAACAATAGGTGAATCCAATCCTGCAAATAATGAAGGTAATTAATTTATCTTAATGTACTAAACATTGAAAATTGTAAAGTATCAAATTGATTTGAAGCATTTGAATTATTTAAAGATAAATCTATTGGATTAATATTTGAAGAATGATCTAAATGTTCAACTGGACCATAAACTTTAACTTGTCTCACATGAGTATCTCTACCATTTTGATGATTTTGTGAAATTACAATTTGTAACATGTTACATCTACAATGTTCCAATAAATCTTTTTCTGAACTATTTAACATGTTAATATTTACATAACCAACTGGTTCTTCTAATTCAATAGTTTTAATTTGTATCAAATCATGAAAATTACTTCCACATTTAATACTAATAACTTGTGGTGTATAGGATTCATCTTTTTTATAATCCAAATATATTGCTACTTCTTGTATGGTTAATACTTTATGAAATTGTATATTAATTGTATGTGGTTGTGGTCCATCTGATTGCCAATAGGTTTCTAAATTATCATCTCTCAATTCTTCAACTCCATTTCCTTGTTTTGCTGTTGATACACTCCACACTGCATATTTACCAATTTCTATTAGTGATGAATGTTGTTGTTGTTGTTGTTGATTGGAATTGGAATTGGAATTGGAATTTTTATTATAGGAAGGAATTGAATGATTGTTGGAGTCTTCATGTTGTTGTGATGGAGGTAGAAAAGATGAATCGGTACTCAAAATGTTTAGAAATATATTATCAAAAGTATGATCCAATACATTTGTTGTATTACCACTACCACTACTACTTGATGATGATGAATTGGTGGTAGTAGTAGCTGAAGATGTTTGAACTGAAGAGAATTGAGCAAGCCTAAACATTTTTTATTTAAATACGACGATGAAAAAAATACCTCAACAAGACCATCCTCCGGATACGGAAGGGAGTAATTTGCTTGCTGACAGGATTTTTGTGTTAGAGAGAGCAATTGAAACCTACCAAAAGGAAAACAATAATCTCCGTGACTATCTTCAACAACTTGTAAATATATGTAATGGTCACCCGTTATGAATAAT